CTTTAGTCTCAAACAATGATACATGCTTAGTATCTTGGAGGATAAATGTGGTTATGGCTGGCCTACTGACCAGGTCTTGGTGTGAAGGCCCAAGTTATAGCTGATAGGAGTTGGTAGACAGGCAGTTTCTGAAAGAATACGTCAATGGTCAAGGAAAGCAAAGATGAATCCAATTATGGAAGCCCAGTACTATATAATAAGACCTTGTTCAGAGACAGAAAAACAGCATGGGAGCTAAAGAAGGAAGCAGGAAAGGAAATAAAAGGCTAATATAAAAATACTATAAGGCTACCATCTCTGAACTGTGTATTAGTCCTTTCTTGGGCTATGCTTTCACATTAATAGTCTACTCTTCCATTTACGCTTGTGAAAAAAAAAAGCGATACTTGGCCCAATGATAGAAAGGAAAAGAGAAATTCAAGCGGAGGAAGATCATGTTTCTGGTTGTTGTAGACTGATGTGCAGTGTGCTTTAGTTCTCAGAACTAACCAAAAGATTAAAAAACAAATAGCCACTACAATCTCAGGGTGGGGGTGGGGTGACGAGGAAGGGTCTTGAAAATGGTATCTCAGCTATGAAAGACACAGAATATTTTAAAGATCACTGAATTTAATTTATTCAACCTAAATGCATAAAAGTACAGGTGGGGACATTATTTATGCAGGTATATGCAAATCACTTTATAAAATAGGCAAAGCCCTTCTGCTTTTTATAAGTTGCCAAGGTGGTTCCTGATATTTTAAAAGCTATGCACCTTTAATGTAATTTCCTTAGAGTTGGAATCCCTTATAAGAGTCCCAGTCATTGTGAGAGCAGGTTTGTTTTTACCCTCTCTCCTCTGGGACATTTTACAAGGCTCTCATAAGCATCACAGAAAGAGAGGTTTCCACAGAGATGTGACTGGAAAAATCCCTTGGAAATTGCTGAGGAATAAGTCACAGTGTTCAAACCAGAGAACATAGGCTTTGAAAACATGAACCCATCTGACCCCTTGAATGGAGTACAGTGAATTCCTGAGCTCTGAAACATGGGGCCCGGCTGTGCATGCCATATTGGTACTATAAGACTGGCAGTAGGTTGGCTGTGGCATGGTCTATTTCAAACTCCTTCACAGTGCCCAGTGTTGCATGTTCCCAGATGACATTTGGTTGGCAGAAGCTGGGCCTCCAAAGCTGGCAGTCTGGAATGCAGCCCACTGTGTTTTGACAAACACATAATTGACCATCTGATCACCAGCCTACGTTCTGCACTCAGGTCACTGGGGGATCTGGGTTTTTAATAGGTCCCTACTCTTCATCTTGTGCATCTTCTCAAACCTTTCTAGAAAGCAATATAGGGACAACTTAAACACACCCACGCATATACTCCAGTTTGCAAAGAGAACATGGTACGTGAGACACAAGCTGCTGAAATTCTCCTTTAAATTGTCCTGGCAGCCCAAAGTGAGTGAGAGAAAAGCACACTTATGGTGAACTCTAATTCAGAGAGAAGGAATGAATATATTGAATTGTTTCAACACCCGGCTGTGCATAAGTTGCAATTCAGTTCAATGGCTTGGAAATTTTGCTTAGAAAAAGGCAGCAATGGAAAAATGACAGGAAATCGGGGATTGATTGACTTTACAGAGCCATTATTTAAAAATGTTTTTGTCTCTTACATTCTCTATCCTCTTATCCCTTGCCCTCTGTGGGCAGAAGAACCCTGTACATCTCAAGACTAGCAGGCAGCAGCTCAGCACAATGTTAGACTAGACTGAGGCCTTCAGTGGAACTCCCGTAAGGATGGGGTTGGCTTTAAGTTTGGCATCACAATCACATCAGCCTTTCTTTTAGATGGCAAGGCAAGGATTGTGCAGCGGGCAATGATATGCTTGAGTTACACAAATATTAATGCTGGGAACAGCACTCTGAACTGACCTTCGTCTCCATCCACTGCACAATTCCGGTCTTATGCAGTTTCTTAAAAATATCTTCAGGGGTATAAGATCAAGTCTAAACTTCTTCGCTTGGCATCAGAGGCCCCTTTGACTGGACTCCTGCACTATCACAGTCTTAACATAGCTCTGAACCATAGAACGCAGTAGCTAGATCTGGCCGCTACTTGGTGCCTCCTCACTTTTAAATGCTCTTGTTTTCTCTGACAACGAACCCTTTTCTTTCTCTCCTCTTGTGTCCACTTGGTAAACCCCTTGTCACTATTTTCACTTCATGAGTCAGCCTGAACCTTCTATATGGGTAGGCACTTGGAGATACCTTCATTCCAGTGCTGGTCACAGAACAGCCTTTACCCACATGGTTGTCTTCCCTAGAACACTGTGAGGGCTTTTTTGGTTCTCTTTTTGCATTGCTGTAGGGCAAGCCCAGGCCTTCACTCCTGCTCCAGTTCACTGAGCTCTCCTCCAAGTGTTCTAGTATGCGCTGTCCCCTCAACTCCAGACTGTGCCATTCTTAATGAAAGGTGGCATTTCTCATTTATCTCGGAGTTCCCAGAACCAAGCACTGTTACAGGCTTTTATAAACGTTTGTTGACTGAAAACTAAATAAAGAACTGTGTATAATTAATCAAAACCAAGCCAAGCAGTAGCAGTAGCTCTTAGAAGCATGGAAGGAGAGTACTAGAAATCTAATGAAGGTAGAAAATCCCGCACTAAGGCATTTTCTGGTGGTTCTCACAAGGGCTGGGGACTGGCTTGAGTGAGAGTTAGACGGGCAGGGTGGGATGGAGGCTGTGATGTAGCATCTTTTTAACAGAGAATGTCAGTAAGGGAATACATTATCACCCTTCTATGATTAACTTTTAATATTGTGAAGAAGTGTCAAGAAAACATATCTGGGTCTGAATTTCAGAGAATCCTCGCTGACAAGAACTGGGCTTCCCAAACAGGGCTAGTCTGTGTTATCTGCTTTGAGGCAGCAGGGTGGGTTGTGGAGTTTTCCTTTCTGTTTCTGCTGAAGAATAATGGGACAGAAAACTCTTGCAGGAAATTGTGGCAGCTATTCAACTCCTATTTAAATCTGGGTCAATTCCAGATGCAGACATTGGATGCAGTGCCAAGGACAGAAGGTCAAACAGGCTGAGTTTTGCACCTGTCCAGAGGAGGTCATTGAGGAGGCACTTGGGAATGAGAGGCACTGAGGGGATAAAGTTCTGGTTTGTTCCCAAGGAACTTTTCCTTTGCTTCTGATGGGCCTCTAGAGCACCACCCCTGCAGCCATCAGCTGCGTCTATGGGGGCACTTGAGGACACAGGACTGTTACTGGCCCCGTCATCTTACTGGCATAAAGGCAATTTGAGGATTTCTAACAAGTCAAGTAAGCAAGCTTGAAGCCTGGCTGGGGGTGGGACAAGGTCATGAGTACATGAATGGACTATTAGCTTGTTACATGTTTTTCTTTTCCCAGCCTTACTCTGCTTTAAAAAAAAAATTCTCCAGAAGCTGCTCTGCTGATGTAGCACAGAATTAGCTTCACATTTTCCTATGAGGCCGACACGGCCTTTGAATTAGAGGCCTCCCCACTTGATTTCTACTAGGTGACATAGGTCTCCTATATGGTTTGTATCTGATGCTTGCCCTAAAGCACTGATGTCATAAAAGCTGAGCTAGGGGGGCAGGAGTACATCGTGCTGACTCATCTTGGTGATATGAGGATTAATGCCTTGTCTAACACTCAGCTATTATGCAAACTGTTTTTACACAAAAGAGCTGTTACAAAATGATTTGCCAGTCAGGGGACTAGAAATATGCAGTGCTAGGTAACAAAGGGGAAGGATAGGAAGACACAGTGGTAACCATGAGCATGCACACTGACACTGTCCAAAGCATTAGCCGACCCACTATATCAACACTGAGAATGAACAGGGAATGAGAAGCTTAGGACCAGGTAGGACCCAGCTCTGTTGTATAACAGTACCAGTCCTTGAGGAATGCAACCAATCTCTTTTCTATGTCAGATAAAATGTCATTCAACTTTAGCCTTAGCATCTTTCTGTGCATTTTGCTTTCTTAAATATGTTTGCCACAGGCTTCTAGGAATGATAGCCACACACATGTGGAATCAGAGACCTCTCCTTTTTGTGCAGACCACTGCAACACAGGAACTATTACAGAGCAAAGACTTGGGGAGGGGGGTTGGTTGGTGGCAATGTGAATTAGGGATAAAGGGAGATGCAACTATCAGGACATACATGGTCACTCAGGATATGAACTGACTGCCTGTCTCTGTATTAGGTGATGCCTTCTGGTAGTGGCTTGATTATTTGATTTCATTGCCCCAAACTCTCTTATAAGCAGTCCAAAGTAATATTCATCCAGATCTACTCAGTGCAACTTGGTTTGTTCTTTAAATAATAAATGTTCTCTTTTTCATTTCAAATCAAGTTTTGTTTTTCTATTTCTTCCTTTTTATTCTCTTAAAAACATTTCCTGTCTTTTCTGAAAAGAAATGGCACGTTCTATAAACTTGCAGGCACATGTGAATCCTGGATTTCTTTTATTTTTCTTCCTAGACTTTATAATTTTGCACAAATTTTTAGCCTATTTACTTTTCAGGCTTGTACTTCTTGGTAAAAGGATATTATAAATTTTGTCAATAAATGAAAGCTCTGATCTAGAAGTTAAAATTAAAAATGGTTGGACCTAGGGACGGGTGAATAACTGAAGAATAAATAATTGCCTATTGACTGACAGAGGAGCAAAGCCCAACTGTTGCTGAGATCTGGCTGTGGACTGTAAGCTTCAGTTCAGAAGAGCAGCGACTTTTGCAAATAGCAGCTGCAGCAAGGGAAAGGGCAGTCTTTTCAGAGGACAATGGCTGGGCTGCCGGCTCCCTCACAGAGGCCAGCTCACCAGCATCCTACCCGACTTGGCTCCAAGCAGGAAAAGCACTAAACATGGATGCTAGACACCACAGTGAAGTCAACCAGGAAATACGACACCAAAACCCAGAGCTTTCTCAAATCTCACGATTTCTTTTAAAGGTAAAGAAGCCACTTTTACTCACATGAAGAGCAGGAACAGGCAACAGACTGGTGGTCAAGGGACTGAAAATGAAAGAAAAGGCAAAGAATTAAACATAAAACCTTAAGATACTGAAGGGACTCATTGCTCCCACATTTTGTCACCTGTAGCCACAAAATCCTTAATGTCCAACTTCAGCAAGCTTCAAGAGCTGTAGCCTTGCTTTGACTGAGGCCAGTGTATCCCTGTACAAAAAGGACCAAGACCTTTCTTGATGTCACCTGACCTCTATTAGACAGCCTCTCTAGAGGGGCTGTCCTGAGCACTAAAGTAGTTACTAGCTATACTTGTCTCTTTACACTCCTTAACTTTAATAAAAAGCTACGCATTCAAATCTTCAGTTACACTAGCTACATTCCATGTGTGCAATGGCCATGCGTAGCTTGTGATGACCTTAATGAATAGCACACAGTACATTTCTGTATTGCAGAGAGCTCTACTTTTGATGGTGATATTGTGACAGGGTGATTGGAATGAAAACTTCTGCACCCAAACATGGCTCTAATAATGACACTTTCAGGTTTGGGGAAGTTCACCATGATAGCTCATATTCTATCTTTAAAAGTCTAATAATTATCTCTTACAATGCTCAAACAACAAAAATAATCAGTCACCACTGGAATGCCACCATAGGTTTGATAGGTAACTCTTCTAGAAGAAGAAATTAAGGTAACATAATTCCTTCCTCCAGGCCCCCAGATTGTATATACAATGCCAAACTGTGGCCCCTGACAAGGTGATCTTAACCATATCACATAAAGCTTCCAAAAGTATCAAGATGAGTTTATCAAAGGATATTACCTTGAAGGACCAGATTACACTGAAAAAGGCCAAAGCAGAAAACTAAATTCAGGAGGCCTCACAATCTAAAAGGTTTTCTGGACAAGTAAGCCATGGTAGAGGCTGCTCTAAAGAAATGTTCCCCCTGTGTGGTCAGTGTAAAACCCGCCTGGGTACATGCAGCTGTGAATGGTGATGGTCCCTGTGGGACAGGAGGAGATCAAAAGAAAGCCTGCAGCCTGGATCCCAGTACACATCAGTGTAAGAGACACATGGGATATCCTGTGATTTACCACACTTTCTTTCACAAAATTAAGAGGGCTAATGAAAATTGGAGAAAAGATGCTTAGACTGTATATGAATTACTGAAAGTATTTAAAAACTGGAAATACAAATAAAAAGGGGCTAGTCTTCAAAGACTGTAGTTTTATATACTCATGTCTTCTCTACGAGCCAAGATACCCTATCATCACACTGCATATTTTTGCCATTTTATCTCTTCCCCTCTCCCTCCTCTCCTTTCAATATTCTATCCCCTTGTTTGTTCCTCCCCCATTTTTAAGTATGATTTATCTCTCAAGAAAGGAAAAGGGGAAACATGATTAGTGACTTTTCTATAAAATATGCTCAATTACCACTTATCTATTGCATGTTATAAACCAAATAAGACTCAAAAAATAGATTATGATCTTTGAAAACTATATCAGGTCTTTATGTTATTATATCTGAGCAGGTAACTTTTCTATTTGAACTCCAAAGAACACTTAGTCACAAAATTAGAAAGTTATCAGATGACCAACACATGTGAAGACTAATAAACTATCTTCTCTGATGTAAAATGACATACAGACTATCAGTGATAAGAATCTAAAGCCAGGCAGTGGTGGCGTATGCCTTTAATCCCAGCACTTGGGAGGCAAAGGCAGGGGGATTTCTGAGTTCGAGGCCAGCCTGGTCTACAGAGTGAGTTCCAGGACAGCCAGGGCTATACAGAGAAACCCTGTCTCAAACAAACAAACAAACAAACACCAAACAAAAACAAACAAACAAAACAAACAAACACCAAACAAAAACAAACAAACAAAACAAACAAACACCAAACAAAAACAAACAAACAAAACAAACACCAAACAAAAACAAACAAACAAAACAAACAAACACCAAACAAAAACAAACAAACAAAACAAACAAACAAACAAAAAGCCCCAAAACCAAACCAACAAACAAAAAAACAAGAATCTAAGATAAAAAAATTTCAGTGTATGTTATACTTCAAGACAAAATGAAGTTAAATTGGAAATTTGGGGGGACATAAGTTTGTCCAAATATATTAATACAAAACAAAAAAAATCCCAATTTTAATACTATTAAAATTTAATTTCATACTTCATGTAAAATTCATAAGTGTCCGTAACTGTCAAAAGGTTCCCTCCTTCTTGATTGAATTGCAGTACACTATGTGATTTTACAAGATGTATTAATCTACATAGATTTACTTTTGCTCAGTTGAAAATGTTATGTATTGATATGTGCCCTTTCCATTCGAGTAATAGTTACCTTATATGTCTGTAAGTTGTTTTTTTATATTAAATGCAAAGAATTAAGTAGAATAGTTCTGCACAGGATTTAAAACATTTGTATTGAATATTCCAGGTTCAACACACAAATATGTAGCAAAGGATATAAAACTGTAAAGGCCAAATAATTCAGGACATTAAAACCCAGCAGTGGGCACTCACATCAAGTGAGGAGTGGGAGGAGTAATGTGTAGCCATGCCTAATCTGAGTTTTTTGAAAGTAAAAGTGTCAATCTCCAAGGATCTAATTGTAATTTAATTTTAACTGAAAGGCTAGTTCACCTAATTTAAATTTACATATTGTTCTGGGGCAGTGGTTTTCAACAGTTAGAGATGATGTAAGTCACTAGGAGAATCCTTTTCCCCAGAAATCTAAAAACAAGTTTCAAGAATTGTCTGGTTCCAAAGAAGTCTACATGTATGACTCCTCTGGGCTGATTACCCATGGCTTGGGGCTTAGGGGAGGATGAATGAAGAAGATTCTCTTTGAATTGTCTTCAGAAAGTTTAAGCGCAACATAAGCTGAAGCCAGGAGAAAAGAAAATGTTAAAAATGTAAAACGTAAAAAAGTTGTAGGTTGGTAAAGATGTGTGACTAGAGACGTAAGCTCTTCTAAAATCCCCGACGTCCATCTGCCCGGACCTTTGTAACATTTCCTCATTTGCTGTTACTAGCATATACTAACAATACAAAATGATGCTCTGTTATAATTCGTGTATGTATATATAATACACTTAGATCATTATCCACCCTTTATAATTCCTGTTAAGAATGTCCATAGAAAAGTTATCACAGTGGGTAGAGGGGTATGGAGTGGAGAAATGCTAGCAAGGGAAAGGGCTCCTAGCTCTGAGTACCCACTGTGGTCTCAGGCATCTGGTAAGGAAAGGCGTGTCTAGTTTGTATATGTGTCAACTCAGGGATGTGTAAGAAGCTACATGAGGTACACAGAGGCACTGATACTAAGACATGGCAGTTTTCAAGAAGGGCTGGTTTTCTTTGTGTGTAAATAACTTAAATGGTTCTTTATACATGTATCCATTTCCCCACTAACTTTTTCTTAAATGTTTTAGAAGAAACAAAACAGATTCTCTTCTTGGCCTTGTATTTTTTTCTAGTTCAGTAACACAAACAAGAATATGCTGAAAAGTGAAAAGAAAAAAAGAACTCGTGTGTATTTTCAGGGGTAATACCTGAGACCTCCCTGAAAGGTCCTGTCTGTGGCACACAGGGCAGTGTCCCAGGAGGAATGCTGGATCATTCCAACTTGACGACTGCCTGAGGGCAAGTGTGAGAGGCACTGTCAGAGTGAATCCCTGAACCCACACTACAGGGGAAAAAATTCTGTTACCCTGTACTTATTAGAAGAAAGAGGAGATTTCAGGAATTAAGAAACTTACCCCAAATCACACAGCCACTAGCCTCTGAGTGAGTCTGTACCATTCCAAAGTCCACATACTTTAACCACTAAATTATACTACCTTTAGGTGTTTCCCACTTAATGTTTCTCCTTGAAATCTGGGCTCATTCAGGATTATGCAGGCTGGGTTAGGCTTCGCTTTGGAAGGAGATAGGTTTGGCTTGATTTGCATTCTAAATATTTCACAGCGGTAAGGGAAAGCTATTATTATACCCATTTTATGGTGAGGAAACTGAGCCACTTGCCAGCTGAGGTATCTGGCTGGGTTAAAAACAGAAGCCTGCCTGTTGGTCTTTCCTCTGAACTAACTCAAAGTTCAGGCCACCTTACTGGCCAAACCAGCTTTTCTGCATATGGATTAACATCAGGTGACCAAGAGTGCAACAAACTTTGCTAAGAGGGAACAATAATAATTTGGTAAGAAAATGAAAAAAAAAAGTCATCATAACTTGCAAAATTGGTTACTCTGAGGACTGTGAATAGAAAAGGGAGTGCTTATTCATCACAGATGAATCAGAAAATTAGAATGTGTCACAGCACTGATGACAGAGCCGAGGAATTCATGTGAACTCCAGTTCTAAACTCATCTTGCTAGCTGAGGAGGGGAAAGGTATGGCCAGCGCAGAAGTGGCCTCTCAGGCAGGGCTTTAGTCTTCTCAGTCTTCCCAGAACGTAGGTGGGTTTGTATCTCTGCTTCATATGGGTAGGGACAACGTTTCAATGGTTATGTTTAATGTTTAAATGTATATGTTTAAATATATTTTAGTGTTGTAGAAATATTGTATTTAGTAATTGTTTGTGGGAGTCTTCCCAAACACTAAGGCTGATTTTTACTTTACTTCCAGAACTTCCAAAGGCTGAGGAGCTACTGGAATTTTAGACACACGTGCCTCTCGGAGTGAGTGCCAGCCCCACAGACTCCTGTCAATTGATATTCCATCTTTGTGTTGGATGAAAGACTTTTTTTATGTGACAGATTCTCAAGAAGGTTTATACTAGGCTTAATGGCATTCCATGCACTCTGCATTTGGGAGTATTTAATTCTCCAGATTTTTTTTTTTAAACCTAAACACAGGGAAAGGTTTGTGAGTTCAAGACAGGGCATGGGTGCAGAGAGATCTCTGCAACACCATGTTAGGCCTTTTGCCTAAGTGTTTTCATTTCCTTTGGTCAGTGGGAGAAAATCATAAATCAATAACGTAGTTATTCCTATGTTGAAGTCAGCCTTATGACACCATATAATTTT